TGAGTTTATGCTGATCACGGTCCTCTGAGCCTGGCAGTTCAGCCTGTTACCAATCCATCTCATCCTCCAGCTGGTCTGGGAGCTTGTGGGAGGCGGTTCAAAAGCCTTATTAAGTCTAGAGAAACAACATCTGCTGTTCTGCCCTCATCCACCAAGTGAGGCATCTCGTCGTAGAAGGCTGTCGGGTTGGTTAAGCACCGTTTCCCCTTCGTAAATCCATGCTGACTACTCCTGACCACCTTGCTTTAGGCAACTCCATTTACCTCTCAGGGCCACAGTTTCCTCCTCTCTATTAAAGGATAAATGACTTTCTGTTCAAAGTAGCTGAAAATTTATAGGTTGTAGAGAATAAGAACTGAGTCTATTGCCTCTTCCTTGAGGGTTTTTGAAGCAGCTTGTTTGTGATAAATGGAAGGGCTTTGACACTCGGTTGATGAGTATCATAAGAATCTCCTAAGAATGATTTTTGCCCTGTGTTTTATTTAGTTACTGTGCAAGCAAATACATCTTTTCATTCAGTGTGTTTACAGATCTAGTCTGGGAGAGCCCAAGCCTTTGAATGAGCTCTCTTGCTACTGGCAGCTATAAACAACAATTAGAGACAGCAGCTTCGGATTTCGCTTCCATGATTATTTGTAGGTGCAAAGTGAACTGTGCTCCCTGGGAGATACAAAAAGATTGAAATGTTTTCATTTACGTCTTCAGATAAAACTGAAAATGTCTGTTGGGAGGCATGAAGGTATCAGCCTCTTAAAATAAGGAAACTTAAAATAGTGGCTTGCAAAACCTGGCTTGAATGAGTGCAGGGACCTGAACGAGTACAGAACTGACACTGTTCTATTTCTCTGCCATGTGGCTCATGGCTGCCGGTCTCCGTGGTGCCCACTTTATCCTGTTCCTTCCCTTAAAATGTTTATTAGCCAGCGATATGCACAGGAATCCAGTCCTTGAAACTCTGATAAGGTATTTAGTTTTACAGATTGCACGGTATGAGCCTGTGTTCTCCAAGACTCTGATTTCCCAAGCAACATTCAGTCATGTATACGTGCATATCGTTGCTTCTACATACGTAGTGATAGCCCCAGAAACAATGAAGGGGAACATATGCTCTGTGCTGGGATGTCATCTCTAGCATGTTGTGGCGAAAGCAGCGCACTGGTGCACGCGGGGTGCTGGTGACGAGCGCTCGCACCGAGCGGCTGTCCGTATGGTCCAAAATGCCGCTGTTCTGCCTGCCTGTTCTGTGTTCTGCCCACTCTTCCTGGTGCTGTGTGATGGTGGGAAAGGTATCAAGGTAGTTAATGTAATATTTTTGATTTATAGTTCCAGTTCTGGGTTCTGGTGGATAAGTGTTTGAATCCATAAATAATTACCCTTATGTTTTTCCTTAGAAATGTATCAGTGGATTATGCCTTAATACTTAGATCTGCAACTTTGCATTTGCAAGGACAAATATGAAGGCTGGGCTGGAAGTTGGTCTTGCATATTTTGGAAGGGGGAAAAAACTATAAAAAAATATTACTCAGATTTCTCAGAGGTGAATGAAGCGTATGCATGGATGAATCTAGTTAATTCTTTGGTTTAATCAACCTAGAATCCCAATGAGGCTATAACAAAATCCCCCTGGTACCTTGGAGTTATGAGAAAGATGTGTAAAATTATATGCAAGCAGAGAGCTCTTTCTAAATTTGAGGAGTCTTCTGCAATTTTTTGTTATGTTCACTACCTGAAATATTTCCTCATCTGCGGCTCTTGCAGTATTAGACTTGTTATTGTGTGAGGGCAATATTTGGGGTCAACCTCAATCCCTTTGGGCAGGGAGGTTTCTGAGAGCTCCCTTGTCAGGGAGCTGCCCCAGCACCTTCAGCTGGCATGTGTGGGTCTCCGCTCAGGACTGGTGCTCGGAGGCAGGAATTACAAGCTGACCAAGACTGATTTAGCAAAATAGCTAAGGTTCATGTAGTTGCACAAGTTTAATTAGGTACAGATGCTAAGTTTAACATCATAGCTTCCTGAACTATCATCCAAACATCTGAGTAAGGTGGAGCTTGGTTGTTTCCTGCATGCCAAGTCTTCCAGGAAAGAAATGTTACACAGCAAATGGTAAATAAGCAGAGGCCCCTTTTACTACAAGCCAAAATGCCAGCTAAGCAATCCTGCTGCTGTTGATACCTTTTTAGTATCATTCAGGTGCTTGTTATTTTACAGGTGTTCAGAGGGAAATGGTACCCACTGCCAGAAACCTAGAACATGCTAGAAGAGACGTTTATTGTCACATGGAAAGTAGAGCAGATGCTGTGACTGCGTTCTGCCATGGAGAGATCCCACCGCAGCTTTGTAGAAGTCCTGTTCTCTGCAGCATCTGAAAGGGGAGTGCAGGTCCTGCCTTGGTTTCCCTCTGGATTTGGTGAGAACACGGGTGGAGCAAGGCACGGCTGTGTACATCTCCTCTCTCTGCAGAGGCACACGTGTACTCTTACAAGTAGAGTTGGAACACAATAGTAGAAACGTATATTCAAAATTTTCAATTCTGTGGAGTTCAGAGGCATAAGTAGTGAAGCTGAAGGAAAGTGATTGATAAGAAAACTTTCCACTGAATGTGCACCTAAAATTATAATTTTATTAATAGACAAGGGAAGGTAAAACCTGGGAAGCAGAAGCTAAATATGTGGGAAGCCATGTATTCTGCCCTGGTTTAGATGATGAGCACATCACGAAATAGGAACGTGGCTGAACTGATCACAATCTGATGCTCATTAGACTTGAGCTGTGCCGCAGAATCCCTTAGAACCAAGCGTGCATAACGTGCTTTCTGAGTGCTTCCACAGAGCCCTGAGTTTATAGTGACAGTTAAAGTGCATTTTTCCCCAATAATTACACAATCTGAATTTGGTCTATGCTAATAAGCTTTAAGACAATTTAAATTCCACATTTTAATATTAGAAATCCACTTAATTGTAGGTAATCTCCAGCTTTGCATGTCACCTGTATTAGCACTGATATTCTTACTGAGCCTGCAATATATGTTTATATTTACTGCTGGGAGCAGGCTGCTGCCGTACACCTGCCGTTTCGCGTGGCCATGCTGGCAACCAGCCAGGCTCTTAACGTGCCTTCACCTCGTCTTGGTCCATGGAGGAGAGCATGGGTGCAAACAGTGAGCCTTCTGCGTGAAGCACTGTGCTGAGAATGCAAACTAGCACCAGCTGGTTACCATCCTCCTCCTCCTCGCATGGGCTTGCCTTTCTGGAATGAAGAGCTGATGTGTCGACCCTGTTCTGGAGGGTGGACCTGGCTCATGGGGATTTCCCTGGGCCAAAGAACCCGAATTCAGCTCTTCTCTCCACGGCAGAGGCAGCCAGGTGGAATTTCTATCAGAGATTGTTCTTTTGCTGATTAATTGTTTTCCCTGCTAGGCTATTACATTTGTAAGATATGTACAGCCCATATGAAGAAAATTGCTGGGAAACGAATCCACACAGTCTTGCTACCTTTTGATTCCCCTCCCCGACTTTGAAACACGGCAGTGGTTTTGGCTTGCCTCTCTATTCTTGCTACCCTTTTCTGTCACAGTCGGTAATTGGCCTAATAAAAGGCAGAAACAAGAATTTATTACACCTCGGGCAATACTTAAAACAAACTTTATTTGCTGGAGCAGCACTTTTTATCTACTTGCTGCTGTATATTTTGACACTCCTTCTAAATATTAAATTTGACTTTATTAAAAGTTAAATCTTTTTTTGTGATTGCTGCTGCTTTTGCAGTTTCTCAGACAGTCTGGTACATATATAAAACTATTCTAATGAAGCTTCTGGAGAAACAAATTTAAGCAGCGGCTATATCTACTTCATTACTGCCAAGCCCCACAAAAATGGCATGATTTAAAGGCTAGTCTCTGTAATACCTTGTAAATTAGACTTGGAATAATTTCTGCAATGACTTGCAAGAACAAAGACAAGAACTATACAACTTTCATGCCTTTTTTGAGCCTATAAGTTTCTTCAAACAAATGATGGCCTTTATGTTTAGAGCTGTTAGCTAAAACAGTCAAGATAATAGTAAAATGAAGCTGGGTGACATTGTTGCGATGCAATTTCTGCTGTTCGTTCCGTTTCTTCCACATCACAGGTCACATGATGACCAAAGATTACAATTTTCAGTTTTCTAAAAAGGCTTAAGAAATAGCAATACATGTTCCTAGAGTTGTTTATGCAGGAATTTTTATTCTTTGAAATATTCCAGTGTTAAAGCAACAAGAAAACATTTAGAATGTCCTTTGGTGGAATCTTATTACACTCGTTATATATGTAAACTGATATTCTTTGATGCCAGCACGTTGCCCATACAGAGAAATCTCTGCACAACTAAAGGAAAAGAAAAAAAGAAAAGGACTAAATAAAAAGTAATATTTTTTTCCTCTTATCTGATTAGAATTAAATACCTTAACAAATTGTCTGGTAACACAAGTAGGCAATAATACAAAAAATCTACATTGTACATCTTATTTCAAGAAAAATAACTTCATTTGAATACAAAAGGATAAATACACTTGTTGCCCTACAGCCACTCTCGTAGGGGAGGTGAGCGCGGCGCCGTGCCGCAAAGGTTTGCAGGGGTCTGACTGGCTCGACTTTTATTGGGGGGCTGTTACACATGTGCATCACTAACATCAGACAAAGAAATCGTTCAACCGACAGGGGTTACAGAGCAACGGTCACTAAAGCACGCGCTGGGAGCCCGCGGGCCCCGAGGGGCGGCCCCGGCGGGGTTCCTCGCGCCCGCAATGCGCTGACAGCAAAGAATCGCCTCCGCGCCGCTCCCTCGGCGCCTCGGGCCCTGGAGGCCCGCGCTGCCCGGCCTCGCCAGCCCCTATGGCTTAGTCCGCTTGGGCCTTGCAAGTCGGCGCGCGGCAACACTTTCCTCTCGCTCCCGGTGGTTTCTCCCCATGTTTTAGCGGCGACGGTTCCCGCTGCGCTGGGAGCAGTGGCACCCCGATGCCTCTAGAAGAGGAGCAGTCCCGTGAGCGTGAGCAGGGCGGCGAGCGGAGCCACGGGCGCCCGCTGCGCTGGCCTCGCCGCCGAGCTGGGGCTGCAGCCGCCTGTGTCGCGCTCGCACTTGAGCTTCTCGCACAAGATGCCCGTGTAGGCCGGCGGGCAGTGGCAGCGCACGTTGTTGATGCACGTCCCTCCGTTCTGGCAGTGCAGCAGCTCGTTGTCGCACACGTTCGCTGCAAGACAGCGGGGAGGGAGGGGAGGAGAGTGCCGGGAGCGTGAGTGCAGCCGCAGCACCAGCTCCCGCGCCGCACGCGGGGCCAAAGTGCTCGCGTCCCATCTCACACCTCCCGCCCCTTCTGGAGCTTGTTACTGGGGGAAAGAGGGGTACATCCTGCTGTTTACACTTAAAACTTGCATTAAAAATATATCTGCTGTTTTTCTTTTAAAGGGTAATTTTGGGCAATGTTATATCAGACCACTGAGTGTGAAGTTACTTGATACCATTGTATGCCTTGCTGTACTTTCACAGTTACCACTGCCCGGGTGCTCAACGTGAGTGTTGACAGGGAAAGGGAGGTAGAGCATGGAACCTTTAAGAAACGTGAACAGTGGTTAAAAATGCAACGTGGCTTTACTGAAGTGAAAGATCTGTAAAAGGAGCCAGTGTTTCATACTGACAGTCTCTCATGTATTAATGATCTGGGAAAAATATATGCAAAAAGATAGGGCAACCGCAGATGGGGAAGTCAGTATGTTATTTGATGGGGATTTTATGGTCTGTACATATGGAAATAAAAGATAATCTTATTTCTGTTACAGATCAAATATTCTTAATTAGCTTTGCTGCTTTGGTGCAAGGATAGCTGGCGTATTAAAACTCTCTTAGCTAGACCTCACATCTTGATGTAACTTCTGAAGTCTAGTTTGACAAAAGAATTGGGGAAAAATATCACAGGAAAAAATTCTAGAGTTTGTTATGTTTTGGTATTTGATTTTTTTTCATTACCTAATATCAGTTGACATATTTGCTCAGGTAACTACAGACAGGCGAAACTCTACTGAGCAAGTGTGTCGATGTGGATTGGTCCCCATGATCTCGTGTTGGAGAACACGCGCTCGATGGCAGCGCCGTCTTCCCCAGGCTTCTGCGCTCATCTAAGGGCAGATCTTGCCCCTTCTGCAGGAACGTAACATCCCTTTTCCCTCAGGGAATCAGGGGAAGATGAGGTTTAGAGACATAACTGGAGATACTCAAAGTAAGAGATAACAGGGAAACGTGTAGCTAAATAACTGAAAAGTTATTTAATTTTACATCAAAATAGTTTTATGAATGTTTGTTTCTTTTTTAAAATAATATTAATATGATGAGAACTAAAATTCAGACATTCCAAATTCTTAAGTGATGCAATTCTACATAAATCTATGAAATTTTGTGAACTGGCGATCTTATCTGTCCTGACTTGTCTTTAGAAAAAGAGTTTTCTCACTCTAGAAGGACTCTGACAATAAATGTCCCTTTCCCATCCCCTGGGATTCTTTTGGTAATTAAACGGTTTTATTAAAAACTAAGTATTTTACATTGAAGTGTCCAACTTCTGAATAGAATTATCAAAACTTGAATACTGAGGTACAACAAAGGTATGAATGTTGATGATGACTGCATATGTCTGAATTCTAATGATCTTTATATTCATATATTCATTGCAAAAATGTTTATATCATGTATGAGGAACAGTGAACCACCACCGACTAAATATGAGATGAATGAATCAGGAAGAATACAGGGTAACAGGTACAAAAAAGATCTCCTTTTCTTAAAAAAAGAGTTATGTATCTTATAACTAAGGTTTTATATATCTTTAAAACTGACCTTACCTTCATACTGCACTTATTTAGCTATAGGCAAAATCAAAATACTTTATCTGATGGTACAGCTACTGACTTTGCTTGCTCTAGACTTCTCATTGCCCTGGATGCTTCCTGCAATTCAGGCAGTGAAAATGGTGAAATATCTATTCCATCAATATTGGCCACTGTTTCCCTTGAATAATTGAGTGGAAATCAATAGTTAATTAAATACCACTTTTTAACAGCAGAAGAGATATTTCACTTCGTGCTTGGCCTTGAATATGAATGAGATTCCATACAAAATTTTCCAAGTATTCAGTAAAACAAATTTATTTTCCAATACCTTTCCTAACTTTAAGCTTATTTGGACGACTCTACACTGATACTTTAAAAGGTCATCATTACCCCTGGTTCTCATCCTGTGGTTACAGGTTTCTGGCTGCGGGTGACTGAAGTAGCATTTTGCTGCACCTGGTAGGTACCTCCACTTGGCGTGCAGGCGCAGGCACTGGATGCCTCAGTCAACACTGCTGAATACATACCAGTGTCTTGGTAAAATGTTACAGGTGCTGATTTTTCTACTCGGACCATTTATTTCTAATGAATTTTTTCTATAATGTACCTAGATAAAAAGCTTTTTCCTCCATGTTTATGGTGTTCTCTTAAAAGTGTGCCCGTAGAAACACAGGGAATGTTTTTAACCAAATTCTTGCACTTGCAAGTTAACCTCGTCTTGTCCCAACCTCCTCC